GCTCCTATTGGCGGTTTCTAGGAGAAACCAGCCAATGGGAGCTGCTTGTCAGAATAATAGGCACCTAAGAAGACTCATGCCCCCCTCTCCTGGGCTCAGTTATTGATGAAGCACATGGCCAGGCAAGCCGGCTGGCTCACTGGGAAACATGTTAAGCTCTGCAGGCAGGCAGGCTAGTTTGGCAGCTGACAAGTAAGTCTCTTTGCCGCAACCTGCTTCTGGCACCCCAGCCCTTTTCTGCCGCCCCTCCCCAACGTACCCAAACCCTCTCTCCCCCTCTTACACCCACACCCCCTCCCAGATCTGTCACCCCAATATCCTGTCCCACATCACAATCCCCTCCTGCCCTAGGTCACATCCCAAATCCCTGCACTCCAGTCCCCTGCCCTAGATCACAACCACCTCTTTCCCCCAAACTCCTTCTCAGACTCCATTCTCCCTCCTGCATCCCAATCCCTTACCCCAAGCTCTCATCTACACCCAACCTCCATCCCAGACCCCACATCTCCATTAATATCATGGACGAGTGTGGCCCTTGACCACTTTCCAAAATCTTGGAGTGGTTCCCCTCCTCCATTAAAAATTATTGCCCATCCCTGTAGTGGAGGAACAGAAAGAAGCCAGATAAAAGACCTACCACTCTGTAAAAAGTGTCCTCATCTTTTCCTATGATCAGCTTTAAAATGTACATCTCCGTGCCACTGTGATTGCTGCAGATTCACAACCATTCATGTGTAACAGGGAAGATGGGAGGGATGCCACAGCTAAACAAAGCCCTGGATTAAGAGCTCCTCCATAGCAACCCAGCTCTCACAGGACATAAGCAAGTGGAATATACTCATGATACTTCTTTTCTGATAAACCAGTGGTAGGAAACCTGCAGCTCGCTGTCTACAGGGGGCCCACTGGCATTCCACCTGTGGCCTGTGCACCTCGTCTATCCCATCCCCCATGTGCCTCTTGCTCACTGAGGCAATGGAGCCCTGCACTTGCCTTCCCAGCACTTTCAGAGAGCTATGAATCAGCTGATTTGCAGCTGTGCACAGGGAGGGTGGGAAAGGAGCAGCGTTGGAGTGCAAATCAGCTGATTCGTGACGCTCCAAAAGTGCTGGGAAGGAGGGAGAAGGGTAGGTAAGTGGGGATCTGAGTGCACTAGAGATGTGGGCAAAAGGCGCCGAGAGGATGTGCACAGGCCATAGGTGAAACCTTAATAGGCCACGAGTTGCATTTTCAATCTTGTGGCCCACTGAGATGGAGGGCTACTCATGCAGCCCACTTACCAGTCTTGGTTGCCTATCTCTGTTCAAGGGATACAGTGTCTATTAGCATCATCAGCATTAGCTCTGGTAAAACAGGTTTATCCAGCTTGCAGAGACTAATATCAGCTCCGGCTGCATATTACAACTTGCTACTGTGATGTATGTGTGGAAATACCTTATCTTGTTACAATCACATTCCTCTGGTCGCTTCTTCTTTAGATGACCTCTGACCTCCCTTAAGTTTTTTATTTTATTTTGCAGTGTTTCAATCTAACAACAACAAAAAATGAATGAATTGGTTAGCTTCCTACCTTCTCCCATCCATTCTATGTCCATTAAATGATTTTCTATCCCCACTCTTGCTCCTACCCCAATCATACTGCAGTGGATCCTCTGATGCACCTGCACGTACTTTTCTAGGCTTCTGCCAGCAGTTCAAAACTGCCAAAATTAACACCCCACTCTCCCCCAAAGCTCAGGAGTAAACCTTCCGCTTGCTGCCTAGGATGGAAAGCTGAGCTCGAAGGTTAGTGGGAAGTCAGTCTTTCTCATCTCAAAATACCAGTGTGACTTATTTAGGGTGGGTCTAAACAGCCATACTGACGTAGCTTTCCCCTTGCCAGAGCTATGTTCTAATTTGCATACAGCTTTCTCCAATCATTTGTGTTTGCAAAAGGATGTATTTTATCGAACAAAAGGAACACGTCTAACTGAAATGTATGGCCCATTGTGAATTTGAAACAGGAACAGATTTCCCTCCTTATGAGACTGCAAGAGGAAATGGTAGGTCACCACCATTTTACAGAATGATCATTGAAACCTCTGGCCACAGGGGGAGCATAGCCGTGTTTAGTCTGATTGCACTGGTGTATGCGCTTGTGGGAGGAGACAAGTGCCTGACCATCACCTGCTCCTTCCCTTGTAACTGTAGGCAGTGAGGTTGCTAATGTGTCTGTACTGTCCATGGTAGCTGGCAGTGCACCTACATAATCAAGAGATGGGTCATGGGGTCCTTCCTATCATGGCAATTTACACAGGGAGACAATGCAAACCTATCATCCAGGATTGAGCAATAGGTCGCTACCCCATAGCCACTAAACAGTAGCTGGCAGGCTGGTGTACAGGTGCAGGACCCAGAACTCAAGCATAGGACACCAAGGAAACGAGAGAGAGGTGAGATTAGATGGGTCTCTCTTTATGGCATTCCATACTGTACCTGCTTGTTAGAAAAACAGAGCTGGAACCAGAAGATAATACTGACGTTTGACTTAAGCTTGTCCCTTAGGCTACATCTACACTGGCATGATCTTGTGCAATAACTCTTTTGCAGAAGAGTTCTTGTGTAAAAACTCTTCCAGAAGAGAGCATCTACACTGGCATGTGCGTTTGTCCAAGAAATGTGCTTTTGCGCAAGAGCATCCATGCCTGTGTAGACACTGTCTTGTGCAAGAAAGCTCTGATGGCCATTTTAACCATGGGGCTTTCTATCGCAAGAAATTCATGTTGCTTGTCTACACTGGCCTCTTGCGCAAGAACAGTTGCGCAAGAGGGCTTATTCCTGAGCGGGAGCATCAGAGTTCTTGCGCAAGAAGCACTGATTTCATACATTAGAACGTCAGTGTACATACATACAGCTGTTAGGGTCACTAACCTCATGGTCAATATGAAGTTTATGATCCTTCCAAGCCTGCAGTGACTTGTACAGATCTGTGTCACATTGAACTGTATCATTCTCCAAGATGTAGCATCTGCCCACAGGAGAATAAAAGTTGTATTACATTGCACAGGGGAGCAATGGAAACATCTGCTTTTGAGAACACTGTTCCAAAGATCAAAAAAAAACAAATGATACCAATTCAGCAATATAAAATCTACTAACGGGTGGGAGAGAGTTTTCACATGGTTACAAATTTACAGCCAAATTAACTGAAAGGTAATAATCATTTTGCATTTCCTTGTAAACTATCATATGCTGGCTATTTCCTATTGTTGCTCTTAGACTGGCTGCACAGACTTCTAAATTACTTATCAAGCATTCAGCTAACATTTAATACTAAAAGCTTCTCGAACAGTAATTCATTAACACTTAACTAAGGGATTCATGAGAGAGCCACACTAGAGGTTCCCCAGGAACTAATATTAGGTTTCAAAGGGAAGGAACTCTTACAACAGGATAAAATTCAAAAGCTTCTAAGTGAAACTTAGTCTCATTTTCAAGAGTGACTTGTTGACTTTTAATGAGATGTAGGCTCTCAAGTCACTGTTAGAAATGGGACTTTTTTGAAAATTTTATACCAGGAGGTTAGCAAATACCACAGAAAGGGATTCTCGAAGTGCCATTTCACAACAAGCTGTGAATTCACTTCCACAAGAACATCTGTGGCTAAGGAAGAGGTGGGACTCCTCATGCAGGTGCACATTTGCACAAGCATTTACACAGTGGTCTTGAAAGCTGTTTATGTAGCTGGGGGAGCCACCCAATCAGGGAGCAGGATCAATACCATTTGATTCAGGAGGCCACTCTCACAGCGCAAGTGGCAAATTCTGACTCAGGAAGGGATCCTCCAATCCAGTACCTTCAATAGAGCCATGTGACCGTACTCCAGTGGAGGAGCTAGCCCACGGAGCAGGAGCTGAATTTGTTCACTGATTAGCTCATTTACAAGAGCACATTTGAAATAATGAACATTGATAACCGATGTGTGTCTGCAGATCATAAGAAAGTGACACTGCTACTCAAAAACAAATTTAGCTGCAAATAACTTGCCATCCTACAATGTACACATGGAAGGATAGATTTATGGTGTTATGGTGTCTTCACAGCCCTGAGAATTCTCTCTCCTCACCCTCCAAGGCTCTACCTCAGAATGCTCCTGTCCCCTCAGCCCAGAAGTCGTATTCCTCAAATTGGTAGGAGGGAGGTGTGGAAAGGCTGCTGCTTCCCCTGGAACTCCAGTTGCACTTTGGGAATAAGCAGTAACCCATTACACTGAACTAGGCCATGCTCCAGTTACAGCCTTCCACAAAACAGGTGAATCATTATGAACTCCACTCTACAGCTTATCCTGGACTCAAATAAGGTTGAGCATTCCTGGTGCAAACAGCAGTTGTACTTGCTGACACTAGAAGTCTGCATTGACCAATCACTGATGGGTGAAATGAAGGCAAGTCTCCAATTCAGACAAAGCTTAGAACAGGGGTGGGTAAAAGGGCCTCTGTGGGCCGCATGCAGCCCACCAAGCGGGTTGATCTGGCCCGCAGAGGTCCTGTCATTTCCCTGCCTCCGGCCAATCAGGGCCTAGGGATGGGGGAGTGTGTGGCACTTAGAAAAACCTTGCGGTTGACACTAAGCACCGTGTGCCAGAGGGCAGGTTGGGAGGAGACTTTGCACGCTGCCCTCGCCCTCAAGCCTTGATTGGCCTGGGGAGCACACAAAGTCTCCTCCTGCCCTGGAAGGGGCTCGGCCCTTAGAATTAACCACCAGCTGCTGCTCAGCTGCTCCTCCACAGGACAGGGGCAAACTGCGTGTGTTCCCCAGACCCTGACTGACCTGGGGGCAGGAGGAGGAAGTGCATGAAGTCTCCCTCAGCCAGGGCGCAGGCACCTAGAGAAAACTGCCAGCTGTTCTGAAGAGCTGGCAGTTCTCTTTGGGGGCAGGGCAAAGACTTCATATGCTCCCCCACCCACAGACCAATCAGGATCTGTGGGTGGGGAAGCAGGGAAGTGTCCTGGCCCTGTCCACCTGTCCGTGGTGGCCCGGGCCCACTTCAAAAATTTCTGATGTGGCCCTCATTCAAAAATTATTGCCCACCCCTGGCTTAGAGCCTGGGCAACCCCAATGCAGTCATACGCCGTTCCCTGTGCGCTGGCAAATCATCCATTGTGAAAAGTTAGTTCAACTGAATGTAGGGATAGGAACTTCGGGGAAGGGTGAAAGAGGGACATCAATGCAATCAGGATGGGATTTTCAAATCTAGTTCAGCACCAACTGAAATCCAGGCAAGTGATACCACTGACTTCAATGGGAGCTAAGCCAATGCTGAGATCTTTGGAAAATTTCCACCCACGAGCCTTCACTCTGTTAGTTGCTGCAGGGATCCTTGCCCAACCCAGCCAGATTTCCCCTCTTGCTTTCCCCCACTCCTAAATAAATTGTTTCTGCAGCAGATGCACTCTGTAAAGTCAGAGGCTAGGTGTCCACATTAAAATGACTTGCTCACCAACAAAAATGCAGCTCTTCTTTTTCAGCCTGCCTCCTGGGTGATGAGGGCAGGTGTCACACACTGAACTCACTCACCTGTGTGTCACTTGGATTAAATTAGGGGCCATATACTCTGTGATGCCGCCCGTGCCACTGTATTCCCCGAGGTCCTTATCCTCCTCTCCTGCCGCACCGTCCCCCTCTGCCTTGTGTCTTTTGGTGATATTCCGTGGTAGGACAGGTTGGTAACCATCCTCTAAGCCCAAATTATAAACTTCTCCATCCAGCTCAATGGACACAGAGCGAATGGAGCGATTCCGGACGTAGCTGGGCTTGTACTCTGGGAAAGAGGAGAGAGAAGAATGTGTGCTATAATTTGCTTGTTTGAGCCAGGTCCTTCCTCAGTCACCAGCCAGATGGGGACATCTGGCATTAACTGGCCCAACTCCAAGGTTTGGTGTTTGCAGCAGCTGCCTTCAGAGCTCTTGTCTCGGTAACACTGTCATGGGCAGGTGCGTAACTGGCAGCATAAAAATGTGAAGACAAAAATAATGCAGAAGGACACAGAGAAGGCCGGGGAGGACATTGTGCAATATTGTTTAGAGAGGACTTAGTTCAGTGGTCCCCAACCAGAAGATCGGGATCTACTGGGAGAGCCTGGAGCCTCTGACAGGTGTTCTTGACTGGTTTGGCCAAGAGATTATCAAGCCCAGCACTTCAGCTGCCCTTCCTCCGGACTGCTGCGCATCTCCTGCCCTTTTGCCTTGGAGCTCTCCCACCAGGAGCCTCTGCTTTCTGGATAGGGCAGGGGAGACAGAGGGACGCTGATATCAAGGTGCCCCCTCTCCCATCCTGTACCCTATCTCCACAGACAGAGAGGGGGCACTGCAGGACTTGGGATGGAGTTTGCTGGCTGCTTTTGGGAATGGTGCAGGGCCAGGATAGGAGTGAGCCTGCTTTAGGCCCACTGCCCCACCACCTAGGAGACACCTGAGGTAAGCAGTGTCCAGCTGGTACCCACATTCCAAAACCCTACCCCAGTCATGAATCTCCTCCTGCACCAAAACCTCCTGCCTTAGCCCCAAGCACCCCTGCATCCAACCACCCTCCCAAAGACTGCACCTAGAACCCTTTGGAGGTACCCCAACAGCCTGCCCCAAGCTCAGCTCAGAGCCCCTCTCAGACTCCAAATCGCTGAATCCAAGACCAGAGCCTGCACCCCAGCCCGCTGCCCCAGACTGGTGAAAGTGGGGGATGGAGAGAGGATGGTGTGAGCAGGGGCGGGGCCTCAGAGAAGGAGCACAAAGGAGGTGGGGCCAGGATATTTGGGTTTGAGGTAGATCTTGGATTGCTCTTAAATTCAAAAAAGATTGGAGACCGCTGACTTAGTTCATTTAAATTGTTTTTATCAGAAGAGTCACCAGGTGGCAGCAAAAGATCAAAAAATAACCCTGATCAGTAGCAATGGAAAAGTTGCACAGTACTGGGTCATTCCTGTGCAGGCCACTACAACGTTTTCCCATCAGCACATGCTCCTGGACTTTGTCCTTTCATTAAAGCTCTCAGGTGACTAGGGTTCTCGCTACCTCCCACAGAGACTCTTCTGACAGATCTCAAAGTTTTCCCAGCATTCAGATGGACCCTTTTCCTCAATGTCACATTTTTCCTCACAGAGTAGCTATTAGTTTCTAATCCCTCCCGCCAAATCAATTCCTCCTGGCCCTTCTCATTTCTGTTTCTCATCCCCAAATTCCTTGTTTGCCAAGATTATGCCAATGCTGTGGTGCCCAAAACTGCCTGCCTGATTCTACAGTCTCTCCTGTGCCTGGCAGTCCTTCATAATGCACTGCCTTTCCGTACGCAGCCCAATCTCACGCTGCAGGACTTGTTACCATACCACGCTAGGAGCTGTCCACGATCAACCATCAATCTATTTGGCACTGCTGCTTTCTAAGAGTCTTCTTCCCTGATCAAAACCCAAGGGATTCTAGAGAAAGCTCCAGGTTTACATCCAGCTCCTGCCCTTCTAGAAAAAGGGATTACAGCAGCACATCGTGACTGGCAGTCACTATGCTAGCTAGCGCCTGGTCCTTTCCACAGTGCCAATAGACTCCTTGCTATCTTGGGCCATGCTGGAATTCAGTCTCTTGGTTCTCCCGGATTCCTTCTCTCTGTCCAAAGCTGAAGGGTAGCAGGGTGTGCCCCATGGGAAGGAGACTTCTGGTTTGCAATCTGATGAAGAGATTTGCTGCTGTGGCATGAAAAAAAATACCCATAGCCCCACCTGCTCAAAACAAACCTTTCACGAGGGGAAACCCACATAAGAAAGGAGAAAAAATGGAAAACATGAAGTCCTGTGTTATCCCACCAAAAAGGAGGATTGTTCAGACAAGTTATATCCTATAATTGACACAGGGTTGAGTGTTTTGGGAGCACATCTCCCGTTTCATAGTCAAGTGAGCAGGAGGCTCGGGATCCAATCATGAATATTGGTCGGCATGCAACAGCAAGAAAAACTCTCTTACCAGCCATTAAGCTTTGGTTCCTGGCACTTCATTCCAGTTTATGTGCTACAGTAAGCAGAATACCAGCTGGATGGACTAGTTCTGGACTTTTTTCCACCTTGGGCTCAAAATGTATCGCTGACATTGAGCCAGGTGAATCATAGCAGAAGAAAAAAAATATTAGGCTCCAATTCAGGAAATGTTTGAATAAGCTGAGGAAACTCCCTTCTTTTCAATACCAGAAGGATGTTCCAAAAAGCTACACCCTAAAAATTACACTCAGAATGCAAATTCTTGTTTCTTTAGTTGCTCTTATTTAATCTTGTTATGCTCTGCCAGACAAGAGTTTCTCTTCCCTGTGAACTTCATGTACTCACCTGGTGCACTGGCCTTTAGCACACAGCTGCAGGGAAGCTCACCCTACATGTGTTCCTGAAGAACCTTCTTACCCTCAGAACACAGGAGAGAACATCTCCATTGCAGCCATTCCCAGTCTCACCTGATGAAGAGTGACTGGATCGAGCATAGGCAAGCTCACAATCAAGTCATATGTTTTTGTCACTGGTAACATGATTCACTAGCCACAGTGCTGGGCCAGAGCATCTAATACTGTGATTTGTCCCAAAAGCCAACTATTCCTGGTGGAATGTTTTAAATATTTTAAGTGATGAATCTGAGGCTGAGCCTCCCTGTTGCCAAGTGAATTGGGGCACAAATCTTGAGTTACATGCCTAACCACTTGATTTGCTCCCATAACTACTAAGTTTGCTGTCCAATTCATTTGCCTGTACAAACACATGTGCGCGCACACACAGAGAGAAAGTGGGACCAGGGCCTCTGAATATCAGTCTTTAAATGTCTACACTCCCTTCTTAGCATTTTCTTACCAGGTTTGGCAGCCTCTGCTCTGGGAAGGCCCAGAAATCTTACAGCTCTTTCTCTATGTCTCTTCCTCAGAAGCGGGCTGATATCTTGCCTGTATTATTATGTGATTACATCTTCAAAGCTGAAGCTAGAAACTGAGTTTGGAGAACTCCATCTATGCTAAAAGAAACTAATCACTCATCATTACACCATCTCTCCACAATTACCATCTTTCTCTTCTTGTGTCCCTCAGCCTGGGTCTGTCTCTCTCATGTTGGGGGCAGGTACAAAGCTCCAGCCAGGATTGCTTCAGCTAAACTGAAGACTAAACCAATCAATTCTTTCCTGAGTTATTTTTTTGGTAGCAAAAAAGTAGCAGTATCTGAGATGTCAGCAATAGGTGGTGAGCATGCATGATTGCACCTGGAATAATTATTCAATTACATAAAGAAACACCAGGATTTATTAAATCCTAAACTTCGTATCTGGCATAAACATGTACAGCCTTCAGCTATGCATAACTTCCTGCAAGCCATCATTCAAGCCTTATTACTAGTTTCCACCTGCCAAGCTCATGATTTAGCACTGAGATCACTTTGGAGTGATTGTTCTCTCAAGGATGACTGAGTACTGTAAACTGCTGTATGTGGCAAAAGCAGAAATCTGGCCATATAGCAGGGGCATAAGTGAAAGGCGGAAAGCACTTGCGCTTCCCTGCTGCTACCCGTTCTGCATAGGTAGTTTGGAGCTGATGTATTTTCCATTTCATAAATGACCATGGAAAAATCTTTTAGATTATTACTATAAGCAAGTATTCTGCTAATGGATTTTAACCACAGGGAATTTATTTTTACTTGAATGAGCCATAAGGAAAAAAAACTGCTGTCAGCCAAATGTTTCCTATTATTATTATCATCATTAATATATTTTCACAGAGTTTTGGACAATGGTACTTTTGAAAATTTTACATAAGTGCCTTAAGCTCCTAGTGCCACATTTTAAAAACTATTCAGGAACCAAAACATGCGGTTAGATGCCTATTGAGATTTCCCCAGGGAATTAAGCACCCAAGTGCTTAGCATTATTTTCAAAAGCATCTATTTGCATCTTTAAGGGCCTAAATGTCTTAAAATTTGGCCTCTAGTGACTTAAATGCTTTTCAAAATTTTACCCCAAATCGAAAAAGTTGTGGCTGTCCAGACAATCTCTTTCGAAAAAGCTTCTTTCGAAAGAAACGTGTATTCTAGACATACCCTCGGTAATTGATGTTCAGGTGTTTTCCCCCCTAATAATACCAGACTGTGTCTTAAAATATGGAGATTTTGCCACAGCAGTGGGATCTGATCTTCAAGTAAAACAAGTCTCGTGGAAGTTACAATGGAAATACATTAACATTTGTACAATGCTCCTTCCTTCCTGTTTGCTAAGTTATACAAAGAGAAGCAAAAGTACACCATGCACATTTGTAACTGCTATTATTGCCTCACAGTAGGGGCAGATCTATACCACATTTGTTATATAGAGTAACTTTATACACCATAAGACAGCTGTGTAAGATAGCTTACCAGAGTCTCTTAAATTTTCTTCCAGAGATCTTTGTTTCATTTTTTAATACACAATCACAAACCATCTAAAATCCAAAGGAAATTAAGAGGACAGAGAAATGCAAATTATTCAGAGAACATCCCCGGACTCTCACTAAAAAGCAAGCACACGCCAAAAACACACACTGCTGAAAGTCCTTTTTCTTTGCACCCAACATAGAAAAAGCAACTTCAGGTTAGCTATAAACGTATATGCATGACATGTGCACCTAGCGTCTAGGCCTAGCAGCCGAGTATCTCTACCTCAAAATTTACTTGCTCTTGCTGACAGGGGAAGGTCAGGTATCTAACTCAGTTTGGAACTGTTATTTTAATTTTTAAACCGTGCTCTTTGTTTTAGTGAGCAGCATTTGCCAGGGACAGGAATG